ATTTATTTTGTGTAATAGTTCACAATCTTTTATTATCTTACTACTCGTCTCTTATTGTGTCTTCTTTAATTTTGTTGTTTTGCTTGTGCATTAGGCTCTAAATCTATTTTTAACCAATTATGTTTTCATGTAGAACCATATCTGATTTGATTAAAAAGTGCTAATAAACATAAAGTTTGATTGGGTTCCTTAAATTTATACACAGAACAAACAAAAGTGCCGCATTTCTATCAGGTCTGCTGCGTTATTTCCCAGCACTTCAGGTTTGGTGTCTTCATTGGCACTCAAGTGGACCAACTGGTCATCTTGTTGCAGTCAACTCTTAATATTCGTGGATGAAATCATTCATTTGCATTTTGGTCGATTCTCTGATTTGTGCTAAATCGGGCTGGAAACTTGTAACTGTGAGGCTGGTCTTGTAACATTTGTGTGAGGGTTTGCAAGGGTCAGTGTGCAGTTCATGTGTCTGCGCAGACTGAGGGGCAATTGTGTGCTTGTTTGGTCGCAGTGTGCATGCATGGAATACATAGATAGTGTGTGAGTCCATGTAGTCAGATGTAACGTGCCTAAATAAGCATGACGGCTGCTGTGTGTTATGTTCGCTGTAGCAGAAGAAAATAAAACGAATCCTTGTTGGTGTGATGTTGCTACGGTGTCCTCGTGTATTGTTCACTTCACAAACAGGGCCCATAGTGATGGTGGTGTCTTTACTGATGTCTAGAATATTTTGGGGGTTTACTAGGGCGACTTTACTGCAACGACAGCCCACATCATCTTTGTAAAATTCTGCATTTGCTAAACTACAGGGGACAACCACACAATCTGAGCAGTTCACATGTTCATTAGGCAACTAAACAGCTGAGGAGGTTGACTGAGAGTAATGCTAGGCTCGCCAGTTTAAGGACGTAAAGACACGTAGGCATTCTAACTGTGTAGGTAGATAGCAGCAGGTGTACAGGATGTGTTCGCAGTACGCTGTTTATATACGGCAACGAGGGAAATTTGTTCAGGAACAGATACTGAAATCAAACATTTTACATAAATCTTTAGGAGTCTGGATTTTGGAACCAGCTCTAACTGATTTCTGATACCCACATCCAGTGCCCAGTATTAACATATTCAGAAAATCCAGTTTACAGAAGTTCCAGTTCCAGAACACTTTCTGATCCCGACACAATCCACCTACAAAAAACCAGCAGGTTGATACCAGCAGGCAGAAAGTGGGCTAATGACTAATAAACTGTACCGTAGGAGAGAAAGTCATCCGATGCTGATCAACATACTGCAGCTGAGAACTCGAAGCCAACCTTACAGCCCACTTCTTCTCAATATGGAGAAGCTACATCCCATCGATGCGCCTGTTGGAGTGGGGGCGGAAAGTGTGCTGGCATCAGAGGGCGAAGCGCACAGCGAGAGAGAGAGAGAGCAGATAGAGAATAGATAATAGGTTTCATGACATCAAGTTCTCCTTCAGAGCAGCAACAACAAGGCACTGTACGCGATAAATCAAAACCGAGACTCTCAAATAGAAAGCAATTAGCCCCCTGCTAGTAAAGTGGACCAGTCGCACAGACACACTAAGACCAGCACCGCCGAATAAATCAGAGGGAGAGAATCTGGAGACGCTTTGTGGAGGCATGTTTAAGAAGTAAACTTGCACTGATGTGTTCTTTAACATCAATAATACCGTGACGATGAGTTGTGAGCAACAATCACGGTGATTGTTTTGATGATCGATTACTCCACTGATTATTTTTTCAAATACGTTTTTAGTTGTTTGGTTTATAAAACGCCAGAAAAATGTTGATCAGGGTTTCCTAAAGCCTAAAATGTTTCATCCACAACCTAAAGGTGTTCAGTTTACTGCCACAGAAGAAGAAAGAAAACAGAAAAATCACATTTAAGAAGCAGAGAATTTGGACTTTTTCTCAAAAAAGAAACTAATCAGAATATTTATCAATTAATTTAATAGTAGAAAGCTTCTTAATTAATCACTGCAGCGCTCGTAACGATTTCAAATGAGGCTGGATGCCACTGAATTCAGTGAATATCTCTAGGCCCGATTAAAATTAAAATAAAGACCACCAGCACGTTTACATCATCTTAATGTTTCTGCAGACTTTCCAGGCAGCTGAGTTTAGTGCAATTACTTCTACACTGGATGATGTCTCTCCACAAGCTACTGCAGAGCGAGAAATCTACAAAACACTGGCATCCGTCTGCAGAAACATCAACGTTCTTGTCTGGTGGCAGGTTTGTTTCAAGGACAAAAACAACAGCCAGCCAAGCAGCTGCCTCCTCCTCTGCTGCTGCTGCTCCACTGTTATGCAGTGTTATGTTAGTATTTCCTTTTCTTCTTCTTCTTCTCTCTCTCTGTTTTTTTTTTCTTTTTCCTTTTCTGGGTTGCATCTTTGATTGTGTTTGTGCCAGCTTGCAGCCTGTCAGGAGCTATCAGAGGGCCGTCTTGGCCGCGGTGGCGTGACTAAGCTGGGTTCAGGGCCCTCGGGGGGGTTTCGCCCGGCGCTCTTCTTCTTGCTGAGTGGTGACACATGTGTTGTGACAGGGCAGCTGCATTATTGGACTATCCGGGGATGGCTTGTTGTGGCTGTGAGGGTTAACAGGCCGGAGCTCGGTGGGTACGTCACTGCTCCCAGAGGTGGATGCAGCACATTTAAGACAAACAAGGGCATCGGTGTGTGTTTTTAAAAAAAACCCCACAATGCTGCATTACAATCCTTTTTTTTCCCCTGCTACTGGCAAAGAAGGCTTTTTAAATGTTTGAATATTAGTATGAAACTGAAGGTCATTCTCAAATCTGATGAACTAAAATCCTTCACAATTGCACACATGTTAGCACTTAGGATAAGTGATAAACTACTTTTACTTTCTGGAATGCGAGGCATTTTGAACCAGTGTTTGTACATGTGGCATTAATTCTGTCTTGTCTAAATAAATGAATGTTCCAGTGCAGGTCTAAATTCATCACAGACACATACAGTAAAGCACTGAAAGAAATCTTTGAGAAAACAGGGGCTTTTTTTTTTGCAAAATAACGACGGGATTTTGTAGGATCTCAGGTCGTAAATGCAACTCTTTTTTTTTTGCGCGAAGGTGAAGTCATGAGGTCTTGGCTATAAATAAAAGTCATGTCACACCTTCCTCTATTTTTACACTCGTGCAGAAACAAACGCGTGTTATCCTTTCCTCTTAAGTTGTTCACCCGAGTTGTGTGTCATTCTGGAAGCACAAAGGCGTATTCATGATGGGGAAGCAGTGCCTGAGGGGGAAAAAAAAAAAAAAAGAAGTCTGGGGCTACACCCTGCGGTCCTGACACACATATACACACAGAAAAACACACACGAAAGCAGCTCAACTTGTCTTGGCTGAGACCTTTTACACACAACAGAGCGGAGAAAGCGACGGACAAAGGGGATGATGTGAACACAGGCAGCTATCATCACCACTGACATGCCTTTACCATTAAATCTGCAGACTTTCACTGTAGGACATATTATCCACTACAGGTGCCTGTTTTTTTTTTTTTTTTTGGGCAGATTACAAACCATTACAGGTCTGTGTGTTGGCCACACACTTCCAAGTGCTGTTAATTTTTATGCTTGGCACCACGTCCGCTGAAAGGCAGGCTTTAAAAATGTACTGGATCTCCTTCAGCGTACACTACACGTCTTGCTAAGAGCCGTGTTTTGAAATGCTGCTCCAGATGTGAGTCTCCAGCGCCCTGCTGAGAGAGATGAATGGCTGGGGGGGCTGCAGGCTACCTACAGGTTCACATCCTTAATGAGCAGAAGAGTCTGCTGAGAGCAAGATATGATTGATAGCGCCGCGACAGAGCTGGAAGAGGGGAGAGCGCAGCGAGGGCTTTTGATAAAGAAGATGGGGTGGAGGGCTTTTGGCAGGCGGCAAAGAGAAGGAATCTGGCATCGGACTTGCCCGAGATAGATGCCAGGAAGCTGTCCACCATGCTGCAAAGCCAGAACGCTTCCTCTTGTTACAGCCGCTCCTCTCTGGTCTGTGAGTTCAGACTGAGCTGGATGTTCCTCCCTGTTGCGTGCCTCACCATATTCCACATAACACACTTTTCCCCTCCGAGGGCAACAAATAGCAAAGGTGGAATTCCTGGCAAGTGACTCCGGATGTTGTTGGCAGCGAGCGGAGGTGAAGCGCATCCAACCCTATTACCAGCCCACTGCGCTCAGAGCCTTTATTCCATCAAAACAAGCAGATAGAGAAGGGAGATGGTGTTTATTTCTTCGCCCTCACTCCATTAAACATGCTGGGATATTTTTTTTTTTTCATCCTTTCAGGGGCTAACAGGGTGTTAATAGTCCACCCTCAGTGGAGTGGATGCTTGTGACACTAAGCCTAAGAAAGCACAGAAATGACATCAAGGAGACAACAGAAGCTCAGAATTCAGCTAAATCGCCTAAAAGCCTTTTTTCCCTTTCAGGAGGCAGCAGTCATACAGGCAACCGCCACTTCAGGATTTGCAGCCAAGAGCAGTCGCCGCAAAATAATGAAGTGAGGCTGGATGGATGCCAGGAGGGTGGCTGGTTATGTCAGCCTGCATAATGTGTCCGACCAGGGTCTCTGTCATGTCATACTAGTGAGCTATTGACTGGCCTAATTCTCATTAATCCTGTGCTAGCAGATCTAATCAGTCCACTACAGGTCTATCCAGCACTTCATCCACTCAATGAACCACTTTGACTGAAACAATCATTTCTTTCATAAAAAATAAAACTGTGTCACATTGATGCTTGTCTTTATGGGAGGAATAAGAGTGCTACAATTGGAAATAAGAGTTGCTTTAAGTGCAACCTTGACAAACAAAAGCCAGGAGTGAACGGTGTGTTAACCAGGTGTCACGGTCACACTTCTATTTTTATTGTTTTTTTTAACAAACTATCTGAAAGCAAATGTGCACAAAACAAAACAGCACCAACATGTCTGAGCGTGTGGCTAAGCGGACGTTAGCTCACCTGACTGGGTTTGTTTGGACCTCGTCCTCGGCTCCACACTTGCTTTGTGGTATCGACCGGAATCCAAGGCGCGCGGGTGACAAAACGAAAACTCCTCGAGAATAAATACTACGTGTCCTCCGGCGGCTCTGCGCTCTGCTCTAATTTCACTCCGCCGCCAGACAAACGAGCCACTCGGGCGGGTTAAAGTCTACTTATATAATTACCAGTTAATTAGCTTCTTGTCTACATACTAATCATTAAGCGCGCGCCTTTTCTCTCACTACACCCCGCGCGAAGCATCCCCCCACGCGCTCGGTTTGGCGGGCAGATGTTGCCAGCTGTTGTGGTTCTCGGTTCTCCAGCAGATAAAAAAAAAAAAAAGAAAGAAAAGCTCGGTTCTCCAGGCTGCTGCTTACTCCGTTCGCGGCGCTGATCCTCGCTGAGGCTCCGGAGCAGCTCGCGCTCCGCGGTGACACTTGATGTGAATGTGCGGCGGAGAAAACAACAGCAGCGTCGCAGCTCCATCCCCTCCAGTCAACTACTGCCGAGCCCTTCACGGCCGCCTCGGACTTCTCAGCACTCTCCTGGGCATCGAGTTGTAAGAGCAGCTGTTTGTCTGTGGCAGCTACTGAACTGGTTGGTTTACATCATAGACTCATTTTAGTAAATATCTGGTAGAAAACTTCTTTTTTTTTTAAATGACAAGTTTGTAAAACTGTTTTTCATTTATGAGGAAGCAGAAAATGTTGGGGGATGGTTTTTGCTGTGGAATATTTTAAGCTGCCTATTAAAAACACTACTGCTAGAACTCTGACAGACGCCAGAAAGAGAAGCACATCACTCCAACAGTTGGATCCCTAAACTGGCTCTGAGTTAAATACAGAATTTAAATTAATTTCATTCAGTGGTGTGGGCCCAAAATATATCAGATGAACCCTTGAAAGTCTCTCAGATGTTCAGGAACTGGTCAGTTACTGGAGTTCAGAGGTCAGACAGTGAAATGTGCTGCTGCTGGAACCTCTTGGAACTTAGATTTGCACCAAGTGTAGCCATGAAAAGTAAACTAAAGGCAGCTCTGCTTCAAAATGATCAGTTTTATTTAAAAGACCTGGTACTTTATAAGCCTGTACTTTTATTCTGCACTTTTTAAAACTGTATTTTCATATGTTTTTTCTACTTTATTATATACATGGTGTAATTTAAGGTCACAGGTTTTGATGTGGATTTTTCCATTTATTTATTTAGTCAACATGCAAATTGGTACTTTTTTTTCTGGGATTTTACGAGATATCTGCAATTCAACAAAACATGGAAACTCTGTAAAATGACAGTTGAAAAATGATTTACTATTTTTCAGTCCTTGTTATACTTTTTAATCAAATAATGCCACATAGCTGTATAAAAAAACTTTTTTTAAAAAAGGTATTTTTTTAACCATTAAATACAGTAAAAGGAAAATGAAATTTATGGTGAAATGTTGTTAAAGTACCAAATACCATTCGTAAACCTACAGATTTTAGACAGCATGTACAGTTTTAGTCTGTAAATTAAGGCTTTTTTTCTGTGATTTTAATAGTTATTATCTGTGCCATAACAAAACTGACAAAATCTGAAAAATAACTGTAAATTGTCCAAAAAATGTCAATGATTTAAAAAAAAAAAAAAAAAACACTTCATCTTCTAGTGTTCTTATCTTTTGTCTTGCTCAGTTGTTTTAGTCAATCAGTTTTAAATTTTTAATAAAATGTATGTGCATTATTATTGTGCAGAAATTAAGACATTTACCTGAAATCAGTATTGTTTTGAATATAAATAAATAAACAAATAAACAAATAAATAAAATCTGTTTGCTTCAGAATTGACCAAAATTAGAGTGACAGAGCATAATTTCTTAACTCTCTATTTTTTACAATTATTTTTTTAAATCCTTTGGTCAGTAAACATGTGGCGCTCTTTTGTCTAAAAAAAAAAAGAAGTACATTTGTGGACCAAGAACTCGCAAACATCTGCCATTTCTCCTTGAAAAAATGTATTAAACAAAAAGTCTGTGAACACAATGATTAATTATCTATTGACCAAAACTATTAGCTTTGAGAACACTAAATAGTCCGTTGTTTAGCTCAGCTGTAGTTGCTGTATTTCATTCATGTTAGTTCAGGGATTTCTTGTGTGTTTCTCAGCCATCATTTCATCAATACTGGAACTTACTAGTACCCGATAATAAATCTTTTCCCGTTATGTTCCTTTAACCTGATTTTCCAAAATTTCACAATAACGGTATTTTGACTGGTGTGAGTCACTCAGTGTTATAATTTCCAACCGGCCTTGAAGGCGTCCTAACACTTTTTTTAGACTGGCTGTGTGTTGGAGATCTGCTCTGCAGGGATGTGACCGACAAAGAGAGGGGAGGGAGCAAACCCCTCTCATCTGTTATGCATTTCCCCTTTGATTCAGCAGCAGCAGCCACTGAATCTTATTTTCCAGCGTTTCTCCCTCTAACGCGCTTTGTTCTGTGTTCAGCTGTGGAATGTGCTGGAGAACACAGTTAATTGTAAGAAAAAAAAAACACTCTTATATGTCTGATCTTGTTTTCTCTCCCTTTACCTTTGAAAGGCTCAAACTACTAAGTGCTAAGATCACACAAAGCAGGGGCGTCAATTCAGTCCACAGCACAGTTGTTGCCCTTTTGGAACTGATGGCATGAAAGTTGTTGATGTGAAAAAATGAAGCTCACCAATCGATCAGTAAAGGCATCACAAACAATAGACTCAAACAAGGCAGGTTGGATGAACTTAAATGCACCTAAAGACACATGTTTTTGTGTTTTCTCTTTCTGACCTGATGCCATTTTCATTAGCAGAGGGATATTTAGAAGTTTGTGCGTCGGAGGAGCAGCAGCGTCTCTGCCTGCAGGGCAACAAACTTTGTTTTTAGCGGACTGAACCACCGGCGTACAAGTCAAGCACTCTCCACAGGAGCTGCAGGCGGTCTCATTTCTGGGAAAAAAAAAACACTGCAGGATTCGTTTAAATTCATATGACTTCTGGTAGTTTGAATGTAACTGAGAAAAGGTGAAAGTTTATCTTGAAGTTCAAAAGCTGCCAAATGAGGAAGCAAAATGCACTTTCTGCTCCACCTGTTGGTTGTTCAGTGGCAATGCGAGGCGAGACACATTTTGTGAACTTATATAACTGTATTATTGTGGCTCTAATTCTTACTAAAAGCCCAAAACATCAATCAGATGAGCGTTCATACCAATAAAAGCGCCAACACAAGCATGATTTTTTTTTTCTTTTTGCTCTTTTTTAAACAATAATATCATCACATAGAAATTCTCTCTATCATAAATCAATTTCAAGACTTTTTTTTTTTTTTTTTACAAATCACACTCAGCTTGAAGTACAGAAGAAAAGTACATTTACAAGTACGTTAAGACACCGTGACACAAGGTTGCTGAGTGAGGAACAGTAAGGCACCGATGCCGTCTGGGGCATAGGTAGTTTACAAACAAGAGCGAGGAAAAAAAAACTGCAAAAAACCAGCGTTAAAAACCAGAAGATTCTTTGAAACGTGTCAAGAAAATGAAAGCATAAGAAACAATACTGTAAAGCATAAACATACTGTTTTAAGAACCTTATTAGTGAAACACGTCGTGTGGAAGGTTTGTTCAAAGAGCTCGCTGGAGGGTTTCTGCCGTTTTGTATGGAAGCATAGAAAGGCCTTTATAATCTGAGCATATAATCAACCTGTGAAAGTGATTCACTGGATGCTTCAAAAGTAGAGCGGTGAAATATTTTTGCTTCCTTTTAAATTTTTATTCAATCATTTTTTTAGGAAATCAAATAAAAAAATGTACAAGTCCGTAGTTTCCTGTTGCTCATCTGAACTTCACAGCTGATCACACAGCTGATAAAACAACATAAGACAGTTCTGAGGATTTTATTTTGCCTCTCAAATTTTGGCAGCTGAATCTCCAAACCCAATTTTAAACAGACTTTTCTGACTTCACTTGAAAGTTTCGACACCAAAATGAACTGCCGATTTTAAGCAACCTGAATATACGGTTGTGTTTTTTTTTAATGTTTTGAAACATTTTGTGAATTTGCCATATTTGCAAACTCTAAAATCAATGAAATCAAGTTTCTGAAGTAACCGAACATGAAATATTCTTCAACAATTTTTTTTAAAGAGGCGAATTGAAAGAAAACTAAGTCATAGTTTTCCAAATAAAATATTACAAATCGGTACATTTACTAGTTATTAGTATTGAAATTCTTTTGGCCTTTTTTGTCTTCCATATTTGGTAGCATTTAAAACACAAGCATCAATCTTCCTAATTATAAAATTTAAAGTAAGGGGATTCAAAGCTCATGAATTCATAATGTTTTTTGTTTATTTAATTAAATGTTTCTAACCTTTAACTAACAATTCAGTCGTGTTAAGTATTCTTATCTTTTTGTCCTGTTTTGGCCTCCGTATTTTGCAGCAGGACCATTTAAAACACAACAGGATGCACAGAGGAAATAATAAATCCTTTTCCATTCGGTTTCCAGCGACTAGTTCCTTCTGGCATAATTATATTTTCTGTGAAGAACGTTCTTTTCAGCGATGTTTGTCTGAACTCCGGTGCACGGCTGCCATCAGACACCCACTGATATGTGATCACACTTCTTGGTTATTAATATCCTCTGTTGATTCAACAGGATCACTGGTCCTTTATCACAGATTATCAAATGTTAAACGAGAAGCCATTTGCTAAAATCAAATCAAACGATCCAGGTTGATCAGTGGGGGGAAAGAAAAGAGAAAAAAAACAAAAAGCCAAATACTACAATTTTGGATTCCCATTAGAAGACGCATCTCCACATGTACAAATGAGCTCACTGCCAAGCTGTCTTTCACATGGTGTGTTTCACTGTTGTGCTGTACAGGCTGTGCTTCTGTTTCACACTGTTAGAAAGCATCAAAGCTGAAAAGTCTTGACAGATTGTTTTGAGATGAGCTCTGCCGGTCTCCATCACATCCCCTCTCTGGTTTTCGAGAGACGAGAACGTGACCGAGACCTGAGCTCTGAGACGTTGTTCTATTCTTGAAACGTAAACTGAATTAATAAAAAGTCGCGATCCAGAACAAGTATTGCTCACAGAGCGGGTGAAACGTTTGATTGACTAACAACCGTCTTGACACAAATTTCCTCCCCCCCTCGTTATCGATACAAAAATAGATAAGAAAACATTTACTAATATAAAGTATATGCTAGACAATCAAGAAGTGGGTTATTTTTTTGTTCTAAGGAAAACCAGAAACTGTCACACCCAACGAGAAAATGCCACGACTACCTGTTATCACAGCCCCCCACGCCCCCCTTTACTGTACCTTCTCCAGTCAACACACACACACACACACACACACACACATTTGGTAAACACTGCACAAAGCTAGCTTTCACCACAACCACAGGCACAGTAAAGAGTATATGTATTTGTTGTTGTCTGCAAATGAAGTGAAGTGAGAAAGTGGCCACAGC